TATATATATATATATATATATATATATCATGATCAAATGTATCAGATCATTAAATGAGTAATTGTCTATTGTCGTTATCATGACTTTAATGTCAAGGGGCCAGACTGTGCATAATGAGGGATCTTGTACCTCGAACATATGGGGCTTAGAATCACACCTAACCTGCAAGGTCCTGAAACTACAAGGGACGTGGAATATTGCAAAGTCCTCGGGATGGTAACTTCTTCTTCTTCACGTGCCATCTCCGCTGCGAAGGTTGGCAATCATCAATGCAATTCGTATCCTTGAGACTGCAGCACGAAACAATTGGTTGGAGTTACATCCAAACCATTCTCTCAGATTACGCAACCATGACATCCTTCTCCTTCCGATACTCCGTTTACCTTGGATTTTACCTTGCATAATCAGTTGTAGCAATTTATATTTTTCTCCGCGTGTAATATGCCCCAGATACTGCAATTTTCTTATTTTGACCGTATCCATTATTTCACGTTGCTTGTCCATCCTCACAAGTACTTGTTCGTTTGTCATTCTGTCCGTCCAGGATATCCTTAAAATTCTTCGGTACGTCCACATCTCAAAAGCTTCTAGTTTATTCAGGCATTGTTTATTCAAAGTCCAGGCCTCCACGCCATACAAGAGGACCGAGAAAACATAGCATTTAAGCATCCTCACTCTCAAACTTAAGCTCAAATCCCTGCTGCACAACAATTTCCTCATATTATTAAAAGCACTTCTGGACTTTTCTATTCTTATTCTGATTTCTTTGGAATAGTCATTTGTCTCGTTAATGTTCGTCCCCAGATAATTATAATTCCTTACTTGTTCTATCTGTTCATTCTTTATATAAAGGTTTGTATTTATAATAGATTTTTTTGTAATTATCATAAATTTAGTTTTGTTTGTATTGAGTGATAGCCCAAACTCTTCGCTTACTTCTACAATTTTGTTCGTAATTCTCTGTAGATCATCCATATTTTCTGCTATTAGCGCGGTGTCATCGGCATATCTAATATTACAAACGGGTAAGCCATTAATCTTTACTCCAGCTGTTTCATCTTGGAGTGCTCTCTTAAATATTTCTTCGGAGTATAGGTTGAACAGAGATGGTGATAAGACACATCCCTGTCTAACACCTCTTTTTATTTTTATTCTGTCTGTCACCTCATTGTGTACCCTTATCACGGCCTCTTGTTGGTAATACAAATTATTTATTATTCTTATGTCTCTAGAGTCAATGTTTTTACTTTTAAGCAGTCTTATGAGTGTTTTATGTTGGACGGTGTCAAATGCCTTATTGTAGTCCAGAAAACAAACGTACACATCCTGATTTACATCTAAGCACCGCTGCGTTAATACGTTGAAGGCAAACAGTGCTTCTCTAGTCCCTAGTCCATTCCTAAAACCGAACTGCGTATCCTCAATATCTATTTCTAACTTTTTATATATTCTGCGATGGATGATTTTCAGAAGTATCTTAAGTATGTGACACATTAAGCTGATGGTACGATGGTCCGAGCACTGTCTTGCGTTGGTCTTTTTGGGGATAGTTATAAATGTTGATTGTAGCCACTCTTTCGGTAAAATTCCAGTTTTGTATACACTGTTGAAGAGATGTGTTAGAAGATGTATGTTATGATTGTCAATGAGTTTAAGAACTTCTGCTGGTATTTCATCCAGTCCCGTAGCTTTCCCGGTTTTCATTTCCTTGATGATGTGTTCTACTTCGTCCTTCGTTATTTCTGGTCCAATATCATCACATACATACTCACTACTTTCTTCATCTCGCTGATCTTCGTACAGTTGTTCTACATAGTTTTTCCATACTTTCAATTTTTCTTTTGTGTCCATAATAATATCTCCATTTTCATCCACCAGCAAGTTGTTATTGTAATTGCGTTTGTTGGTTAACTCTTTAATTCTCTTGTGCGCATTGAAACCATCATGTTTACTTTGTAATTTCTCGATTTCCTCACACTTTTCCCTGTGCCAGTTTTCTTTGGCTTCCCTAATTTTACTTCTGATCTTGCTTTGTAGATATCGGGATTTTTGTTGATCTTTGTTTCTGTATGTTCTTCTCTCGTCCATGAGACCTAATATTTCAGTTGTCATCCATTCCTTTCTTACCTCTGTTTTCTTACTAAGTTGTTCCTTGCATGTTTTTAGTATTTCTGTTTTAAACTGGAGCCAGTTGTTGTTTATATGTTCTTCATTGTTATTTTCTATGCATTGCAAGGTTTGCAATGCCCCATTTATCTTATTTTTCACTCTTTCCCTTGTTTCTGGATTACGCAATTGATTAGTGTCAATTGTATCTTTCTTTGTTCTATGGTCAATTCTTTTTAATTTTATCCTTACTTTTGCAATTAGTGGGTTATGGTTAGAGGGTATATCTGCACCCGGATATGTTTTAACTGACATTATACCATTCCTGTATCTTTCATTGATCATTAAATAATCTATCTGGTTTCTAACTATTTTCTCTTTGCTATCTTGTGGTGATATCCATGTATATAAACGTCTATTAGGTAATTGAAAGCATGTGTTTGTGATAACCATATTTTTCTCTTGGCAGAATTGTACTAACCTTTCACCTCTGTCGTTCCTTTCCCCCAGACCGAAGTTTCCCATTAGATTATTTGTCTGTCCTTTACCAACTTTAGCATTTAGGTCACCCATTATTATTGTTACATCTTTTGCTTTGACTTGTTTCAGTATTTCGTTTATTTGTTCATAAAACATTTCTACTTCCTGATCATCTTTGTCTGCTGTTGGCGCATATACTTGGATTACGTTCATCCTTCCTATGTTCATCCTAAATTGTAGTAACATTACACGTTCTGACAGTGGTACGAAGTTCAGAACATATCGGGAAACATTTTTGTTGATTATTATGCCTACTCCATGTCGGTGCTGAGGGTCGGAGCTACCTGAGAAATATATTAGATGTTGATCTTTCAACTGACATTCTCCACTTCCCGGCCAACGCGTTTCGCTTACACCTAGGATATTGATGTTCATTCTTTGCATTTCCTGGACAATATTATGTGCTTTTCCGGGTTCATACATGCTAGTGACATTCCATGTTCCAATCTTATATGTTTGTTTACTAGTCATTTGACAGGGTTTTCGCATGTTGACGACCTGAGAGGCCCTGTTTCCCCTCCTGCCGGATCTTGACTTCCGAATATCATGATCAGTAAGGTCTTTGGTCTGGTTTATTGCCATGATGATTTTACTAGAGATATCCTATAGGATCTTTACTGTAGTGGCTTCTCCTTTCCTTCTACACCCCAACGCCGTTGACCATCTTAGTGGTTCTTCCGCCTTCGGGGCCAATTTCTCAACCCCAGGACAATGAGTTGCCCTTCCAGTTGCTGGTTCCTCCACCCGAAACCTGTGCTGGTTAATATTATCATGTAGGGCATCTTAGACCCTCTGATCCCATGATCCACTGATGTCAAATTGCCACAGATGTAGGGCTTGGCTCTTGAGGTTATGAGTGATTCATCTTCAGTTAAACCAACAATCCCTGAGTCATCAGTAGCCTGGAGTTCTCCCATTACTATCTGAATTGAGTATGATCCCAACCTAAAGGGAACTTTGAAACATGTTGCTTCCACCTGTTTGATGAAGGACAATGTGTAGTCACACGTAGGACCTGACTCCCAGAAGCTAGTGCAGCTGATGAAATCAGAGGAGATGCTAAATTGGTAGTCATCTAAAATCTGGATATCCCCCAGCTGGCTTGACAAAGGGGTTCTCATGTTATCTGTGAAGGGGCACATGAACCATTCCCCTTTTGGTGATTTTAGCACAGAGACACTCCTGGGTTGGTAGTCATTGGCTAGTCGTGCTCCAACTGTTGGGACCCTAGTGTTGCTTGTTGTAGAGATCTCTATTGCAGGATAACCTTGGCCCAGTCTGTACACCACCCACAACTCCTGAGAGTGTATCTTCATGTGAACCCTCCAGAACCAACAGCCCTGGCTGAAAGCACATGTTCGTCCTTCTGCTTGACAGAATCTTTTGTCTGCCACAAGAATACCATCTCTGAGCAATGTTAAGTTTTGACTCATCCATTGACCGCGAGGACCAATAACATCACACCCTCCTGCAGTGGTACATGTGGATCATCTACATGACCAGTCGGCAATCACAGAAAATTTAGTTTCCCCTGTCATGTAAGACTCTTCGAGTGGGAAAGCCTTATATGCCTTAGACAGCCATATAGTGTTATTTGCTATCTTGATGTGTTCAGACTGCCTCAGCGTGAAATCAGACAAAACACCAGAAGATTCAACTAGAGGTGTTCTGCAGCAGAGTCCTAGAGTCAATACAAAAACCAGGAAGGTTCGTCTAGTTCTTTGACCTTTTAGCTTCATCTCTGTCCCTCGTAAAGGCCGGTCCAGACACTCCGTTTTGCACAACGTTTTAAATCCGCGCAGTTTTAAGACGGAATGAAACCGTTGCAACTTTGAGCGTCCAGACGGTACAGTCTTGACGGTGCAGTCTTGTATTTTCCGCTCAGTTTTGTGTGATATCGCCATGGAGGAGGTTCTCCTGTGGTCAATTTTCGCCTGCTGTATTGTAAAAAAAAAAAAAAGATTGGAACACATCAGAGGAAGCGTTCGTTCAAAATGGTCACGGAAATGGCTTTTAAAAAGGCGGGACTTTTCCCATATAAGATTATTGAGTGAATTACGTGACGAACCTAATGATTGGCGAAACTACTTGAGAATGGACATGGACACGTATATTTACTTATTGGAATTAGTGACACCGCATATCAAGAAAGAAAATACTTGTATGAGAGCAGCAATATCACCACATGAAAGGCTAACAGCAACTTTAAGATTTTTGGCAACCGGCAGAAGTTACAAAGACCTGGAGTTCACAACAATTATATCAAAACAATCGCTAAGTGAAATCATTCCCGAAACATGTGAAGCTATCTACAAGGTGCTGAAGAAGGATTACTTGAAGGTAAGAAATATTGTTATTTTCCATAAACGATTTATTATTTAATTGAACATTATAAACTTTATTATTGTAGAAAAGTTATTATGGTAAGCAATAGAAATGCACGCAAGTATACTTCAGTTTGGTTGAAATGATGACAAGTAGGTTCCAACGGGAGAGTGGGCAGGGGCTTGGTGGGCGCGTGTCTGTACATCTTGTTCACCTTGCTGTGGGATGATGCATGAAACTGCCGGAATTTTCCCAATTGTTTCATACTCCTGAGTGTGAGGTATTTGTTCTGGGGCGTAGTTATGTGGCATAGGCCGCGGCTGCTGCGAGAAGGAGTGGTATTGTCCAACTTGTGAAGAAAGATTTTGTTGCATTCTGATTTGATGTGGCGTATTCTGTTGAGGCCAATAATTCGTGGCATTCATTGAACCAAAATCATCTTGTCGCTGGCTTTTCATGTCAACAATTCGAAAATTTCTGGTAAGCGTACCCAACTCAGCTTCGAATAAAACGTCGGAAATTAGTTTCTGAGCAATTATGTTTTGTGAATTCGGGACTTCTCCGAGTTTATTAGCCACATGTTTTCCGAATACCTGAAATGCATCATCTGCCTGTAGCGATTCCAGTTTCTTCCCTATCACCTGCAGGACTTCAATTGTGCCATCATCATTCCCAACAGCCTTCCTCTTGTTACGAGTTAACTTGTGCGAGGTATTGACAGAATGGGAAGTACTCGTAGATGCTTCGGAAGCAGGAGTAGCAGGGGTAGTAGCAGCTTCACTGGGCCCACTGTCAATAACAGTTTCTTGCACATCGTCTTCCACCTGAAAATATTAAACAATAAATGTATTATTGATCTCCATATTTTTATTATTTTTACAAATTTTCAATGATGAAACTCTTGCAATATTTCTTCTTTTTTTGTTTTGTTTCAGTTTCCCAAGACTGAAGAGGAGTGGATGGAAGTTGCAGCGGAGTTTGAAAGAATGTGGCAGTTCCCTCATTGTTTAGGGTCAATTGACGGAAAACATATTAGAATTGTGCCACCTAAAGGAAGTGGGTCCTATTATTTCAATTACAAAAAAACACACAGTGTTGTTCTTATGGCAATAGCCAATGCCAATTGCGAGTTTTTGTATTGTGATATAGGAACAAACGGTCGGATCTCAGATGGAGGAGTCATAAATAACACTCAATTTTATGAAAAACTCGTTAACAACGAGTTAAAAATTCCAAAACCCCGATCCATTGGAAGTTCAAACAGAGTTTTAAGATATGTTTTTGTTGGGGATGAAGCCTTCGCTATGCGTCCAGACCTTCTCAAACCATATCGACGAGAAACATTTACAAGGGACCGAAGAATTTTTAATTACCGCCTATCTAGGGCGAGGCGTGTTGTTGAAAACTCATTCGGCATTTTGGCTTCCCGATTTCGTATTTTCCACACAAGTATTAATTTAAAGATGCACAACGTCGATACTGTAGTTCTTGCGTGTTGCGCTTTACACAACTTTTTGCGGAGAAAGTCCCCCCAAAACTACACCCCTCCAGAAAGTATGGATCAGGAAAATATTTCTGAATGTACTGTTCAATTAGGTGAAAGATGTAACCCAGAATTAGTGCACGACCTACAGCGTGGACCAAGAGGCCACATGTTGAACAATGCTAACGGGGTCAGAGATCATTTCAAGGAGTACTTGAACAATGAGGGGTCTGTTCCTTGGCAAGATAGATTTATAACTTTAAACAATGAATGGCGTACATAAATAATTATTTGGTACTTGTAATTTTTTAGTAGACACTTGTAATAAACATTGTAAAAGCTGATTGTACCTATTAAATAAAAGAATATGTTTCAGTTAATAAAGCGATTAGGTAATAATAGGAAATTTTGTTGTTTTTTTTCTTACCAGTTGTGATGATTCGTCGCAGTTTACAGACTCTTCACTTTCGTCCATGGTATTCCTCGACGGCCTTGGTGTCTCCTGATCATTGAGAAAATGCAGCAAATCGAAATACCACAGAGATGGCTTGTAAATTTCGTCTTCTCCAGCCCCAGATCGAATCGATTTGTTTACCTTTGCCAATTCTTTGCGATAAACGCTTCTCAAAGAATTGATTTTCTTCACCACTGTCTCCCTGCTCGCGTTGACATCTATTTCTTTGAACTTTTCAACCAATCTCTCGTACGCTTCCCCCTTTTTGTCCCTATCACTGTACTCTTTAGATTTAACTCGCCAAAGGCACGGAAAACTTTCATAATGTGAAATAAAATCCGTCAAAAACTCGCGAGAACATTGCCGCAGATCTGCCATGGTCGGATGATTAGAGAAAACTGAGGAACAAAACGGATTGGAAAACGGAGTAAGTGTCCACACGCAACGACATGTCTGCGCAGGTCACGGTTTTCAGAGCTCACGAGATCAGTTATCGCTGCAACTGTGCAGTCCTCCCGACGGACTCAAAACTGCGCAGTTTTCCGGTCCACACGCAACGTTTTGTCTGCAACGTCTTGAACTGCGGAGACAAAACGTTGTGCAAAACGGAGTGTCTGGACCGGCCTTAAGCCAATAGGCAAATCAGTTTCTTCAAGGCTCAAACCTGATTTTGTGATGAGATGCTCTTGGTCGGGTGATCGCACTAATATAGTCCTACTGACTGGCACTGATAATATAGATCGAGACCCAGTTTCCCTGGACCATGGGTCTAGAGACATGAACCACCTAACATAAATGTATCTTAACAATAGGATGTTGACCAAGAGCAGGAGAATGAGAGCCGCCAATAGGCCTGGTGAGACATTAGACTGTTTGCTTTCACAGATTGGCTGGCCACTGTTGTCCAAGATAGACCCTATGCCGCAGAGACTCTGTCCCTCATACACGCAGGTGCAGTTCCCAACTTTGATCCCCATCGGCCCATAAAATACCCTAGTTTTCAACTGCTGGCAGCTCAAATTTGCTGTACCATATAGGGTTTGGATTTGGGCTCCCTTACCTGTCTCATCACAGCCCACAACTCCATGAGTGATAGGTAAATTGCAACAGGTGGAAATGTTGGTCAGTGGATCTATGTTGAGATGCTGATAGGCAGGGACAATAAACCCATGATGACTGTCAGGCACTCCCGGAGTGGCATATGCTGATATGGATATAACCAATGGCATGTGGATTATGGTCCAAAACATTAGGCCCACTCGTAGCCTCATGGCCCCATCCGGAATCTCTGGTAGAAAGGTGACATTGAATGACATTTCCATTGCACTGACTGCCCAACACAGTGTCATTCTCCTTTTATGATTCTGTTTTTGTGGCCTTCAATGTGATAGATATATATATATACATATATATATATATATATATATATATATATATATATATATATATATATATATATATATATATATATATATATATATATATATATATATATATATATATATATATATATATATATATATATATATATATATATATATATATATATATATATATATATATATATATATATATATATATATATATATATATATATATATATATATATATAATATAATGCCCAACAATTCCAGCCCAAGGCTTATTAAAAAGCATCAAGTCTTCAGCGCACCTCAAAAAATCTGTTTGAGGGAGGCGGAGCTTTTAAGACACCCAAAACATTTATTTTAAAAACATAAAGTTCTGCGAATGTTACCCTCGCGGGTACAAACTGTACTTTTACTATTGCACACAAAAGACAGGGGAAATAAAACACGAGAGGTAAGGAGTAAATATTTATATTCCGGAATCTGCAAAAAGAAAATTAGAAATTTAACGGTGTCAGCGTTATCGTGGAAATAGCCGCTCGTACTTTTTTAAATATCTTCGTGTGGAAGTTGTCCATATCCCGAATCGAGCGAGTCCTCAGGAACCAAGGGCGGCGGCAACTCAAAAATGTAGCTTACCGTGCTACTCCCCGAGCTTGGCGAACCCGCTCTAACTTCCCCGCCATGGTGGGGGAATTCCACTGTCTCCTCGCTGGATGCGTCGGAGTCTGCGTCTTGGAAGCTATTTTTTGCTTGAAAAAAAGTGTTATTATTTTTATTTTAAAAAAAGGGTGAAATTAGTTACTTCGGAATGTTCTGAATTCGAATTATGGGTGGAGGGCCGGGTATCCTCTCAATTTCTTGGCGTTTTCTATGATGAACAAGAATATAGCGAGTTATTTTAATTTATTTATTTTGCTTCCTTTTTTTTTAAACAAAAACATTTACCTTTCTTCCCAAAAAGCCATTCGCTCCAGCACCCTGGAGCGAAAAACAATCATTCCGCAAAAGGGGCATACTAGCGGGGGTTCATGTTGCAACCAACCTATTACATCGGCACACGACGCACAGAACGTATGTGCCTCAACGCCATCGCAAGCGAATATCGCTTCACGGCAGACAGTGTCGGACCTGAGTAGGCACCGGTGGCAACGTAATACCTGAGTAGCGACGCACCTGTATAATGCAGATAAAAAACTGAATCAGGTAAATGTCTTCTCTAGGCTACACGCGAAGAAAAAAAAGAAAAACTAACACCGGCATTTCAAAAATTATCGGTAAAAAAGGCCCTTGCTTTATTGCTCTTTCGAAGAGGCATTCCCTTTTTCTTTTTATTTTAAATTTTGCGAAACTTAATCGTCAATAAACAGTGGTTGATTAGTTAATTAAAGGCTTTAGGATAATTCACTCGCAGATTTACAAATAATTATCTAATTAGTCACTTACCCGTTCATTCTTTATGGTAAAAATCTCTCGAAAAAAAAAGTAAAGGCACTGACAAACAAAACTGTGTCTCTCTGTAACCGTAACCAAAAATCACATTCACAAAGCAGCACAAAACTGACCGTTTCGAAAATAAAACGATATTTGCATCTACCACACTTTCCACTTTAATATAGGACTACAAGCGCATTTGAACATCCGCGACTAAATGAGGCTAAAAGGTTCGGCGGCAAAACTAACCATCACCCACGCTCAACCCTCATTTCGATGCCGTTGTCTTTATATGACTTTGTGTGAGAAAACAGAATTTGCAGTGTTTATGGTCTCAGGGGGTAGGTATATCGAGAGCCACCCACGAAGCGGCGGTGTGTTTGAACATCGACGACTAAATGAGGGTAAAAGGTTCGGCGCCAAAACTGACCATCAAACACCCTCAAGCCTCATTTCGATGCCGCTGTCTTTTTATGACTTTGTGTGAGAAAACAGAACTTGCAGTGTTTATGGTCTCAGGGGTAGGTATATCGAGAGCCACCCACGAAGCGGCGGTGTGTTTTAGTATACAAAGAAAATAAAACAAACCTTGCAAGTTTTATGAGTTTATTTTATTCAATGGGGTGGTCTTGGGGGTAGGTATATCGAGAGCCACCCACGAAAGAATACGAAAAGTGTGAGAAAATTTATCATGCAGGGATGTATTTTTTGAATTTGACCCTCCTCGAAAAAAACACATTCTAGTGTAATTTAGGTTACTAATTACGCACTCATTAGGCTGATTTTTTTTCTTCTACCCCATTTTTTTTCTCTTTATCAATGCAGACTTACAAAAGCTGAAATATGAATCTTTTTTATTTAGAATCCATAAACGAAGAGACTTTATTAGTAAATTATGAGATTTCCGATGAAGTTTTCAATCCGCATTCGTCAGTAAATGTTTGTATTGCGGCCTATACAACCGCACAGGCACGTTTAAAATTATATAGTTATTTAGACCAGCTAGGTGAAAGGGTGCTCTATTACGATACAGACTCCGTTATTTTTATTCAAAAACTCGGTGAATACGAGCCCCCCACTGGCGAGTTTATTGGAGATCTCACCGACGAACTCGAGGAATACGGGCCCGGATATTTCATTTCAGAATTTGTAAGTGGGGGCCCGAAAAATTACGATTTTTATGTGCATATATATATATATATATATATATATATATATATATATATATATATATATATATATATATATATATATATATATATATATATATATATATATATATATATATATATATATATATATATATATATATATATATATATATATATATATATATATATATATATATATATATATATATATATATATATATATATATATATATATATATATATATATATATATATATATATATATATATATATATATATATATATATATATATATATATATATATATATATATATATATATATATATATATATATATATATATATATATATATATATATATATATATATATATATATATATATATATATATGGGTCGCTACGGTGCGAAAAATTTAATTTCTAGTCCTAGATTTCACAGTAGAACCATACTTGATAACAATTTGTTGCTTATAGAATTAAAAAAATCGGAACTTTGCTTTAATAAGCCACTTTATATTGGAATGTCCATATTGGATTTGTCGAAAAAGACCATGTACGAGTTTCATTATAATTACATGCTTCCAAATTTGGGTCCCGAAAAATGTAAAATTCAATACATGGATACGGACAGTTTCATTTATAATATCAAATGTTATGACGCATATGAAAGCGTTATTAAGGCCGATTTAACAAAATTTGACACGTCTGATTATCCTAATGACAATCCCTATAATATACCGCAAATCAACAAAAAGGTTTTGGGGTTGATGAAGGATGAGACTAATGGCACCATCATTAGTCATTATGCGGGGTTAAGGTCGAAAATGTATACTTTCAAAATTTTAACGGGTTCGGTAGTTAAAAAGTCAAAGGGTATTCAGTACAATATTGTAAAAAATAAAATTTCATTTGATGACTACGTAGAATGCTTAACAAATTTTAGGGAAAAGTACGCCACTCAACGAACCATTCGTTCATACACTCACAATGTATTTAGCATCGAACAAACAAAAGTTGCCTTGAGTCCTTTAGACGATAAACGTTATCTTTTGCCGAATTCATATGAAACGCTTCCGTGGGGACATTATAAAGTGCCGTAATTATTTTTTAATATATTTTTGTTACAGATTATGGACAAACAACTTACATTAGAAAGCCTTTGTATTATAACAATTTGCGAAAATATTAGGTGTAGTGCTGATTTTTTGCGTGAGTCACCTTTGCCTTGGAAACTAACGATACTAATATTTAAATATTATTCGAAATATAGATGGAGGTACCTTAAACAATTAGCCCTCCAGTCTGATGGCAATTCTTTATTAAATTTAGAATTCATTCTGTTGAATAAGAGATTTGGATCGTCTTACAGAAATAGCATTTTGGCAACTCCAACCATTGATTTTGACGGAGAATCCGCTTACTGTTTATGGGTCAGTTATTACAGGATAAAATATTCGGAAATTTTAGTTTGTAAATCTTGTCACTTTATATTTCAAGTAGTTAAAAAGTTTAAAAAGAAAAATTTTAGACTTTTATTGGATCACTATCATTTACAGCTGGATATAAATAATTTGAATGATGTATATCACGATAAACAATTTTGGTGTCAAAGCTGCTTTGAAGAAGTTTTGTTCACCGTAGAAACTGAAGATGAATGTAATTTAATGCTTCACAATGAGAGGAAATATGGAAAAAAGTTACGCTTTTCTGATAGTCCATTGGACTATTAATACTGTGGTTTTATTATAACATATGTAACTGTAGATAAGGCTTTTATGTATTGATTGTATTCCATTGTATTTCAACAAGAATAAACATGTATATATTTAGACGCTATTTTCTTTTTTACCACCACCACAACACCGCATAATAATTACACAGAAGTTTGTAATTGTATAATTTATTTATTATATACATTATTACTATTTTACAATTTCGTTAAATGCTA